GGGTCTGTAATGCAATCATAACAAGGTGATCATCCCTTTCTCATTTCTCAGTTCCACCCATATAACTTCACTGGACAATCTTTCAGGAATATCCTCCCCAAGTACAGAAGTAATGTTATCTCTAACCAAAAATGCCACTCCCTTTACTCTAAGATAGTAGGAACTGCCGATGCTGGAGAATCTGAGATAACAAGGTGTAGAGCTGGATGAACACAGCAGGTCAAGCAGCATCAGAGGAGCAGGAAAGCTGACATTTTGCGTCTGGACCCTTCTTCACTCCCTTTAGTCTCTTGCCTCCCTTGCTATAACATCTGTACCCTGGAAAATTAAGCTGCCAGTCCTGTCCATCTCTGAGCCATGTTTCTGTAATAGCTATCATATCCCAGTCCCATGTTCCCAACCATGTCCAAAGAGAGAAAAACAATTGGGCAGACAAAGGAGTGAGTAAAGATCAGCAGAGAGAATGAATAGTTGCGACTGGGGATTGTTAGTGACTAATACTGGGCTGTGTGTGGTAACAGCTCATCTGATGAAAGGGGGTGGGGATGTGTGGAGCGTCTTGCAAAGAATGTTGCAAAGACACAGTGTGGGAAAGACACATAGGAAGGTGCTCAAGCCCTAAAATTGTTGAACTCAATATTGAGTCCAGATGGTTGCAGAAATCCCAAGCTGAAAATGAGGTGCTGTTCTTCCAGCGTGCACTGAGCTTTGCTGGAGCACTGCAGCAAGCCTGGGACAGAGACGTTGGTCAGAGAACAGGGTGGTGTGTTGAAGTGGCAAGCAACTGGAAGTTCAGGATCTTTTCTGCAGACAGAACTTAGGTGTTCGGCAAAGCTTTCAACCAGTTTGCACTTCATTCCCCTATGTAGGGGAGACCACATTGTGAGCAGTGAATATAGTAGACTAGATGGAATGAATAGCAAGTATAGCGCTGCTTCAACCTTGAAGTTGTGTTTGGGACCTTAGATAATGAGGAGAGAGAAAGTAAACAGGCAGGTGTTAGACCTTCTGCGATTGCAGGAGAAGGTACCTTGGGGATGTGAAGACATGTTGAGAATGAAGGAGGAGTGGACCAGGGTCACATTTTCCTATCGAACTTTGTGGCATCTGCAAACTCACTTAAGTCATTGATGTCCGTTAGAAAAGTTGAGGGCCCAGCACAGATCCCCTTTAGGACTGCATTTGTCACATCCTGCCAATCCAAAACAACATATTTGTGCAAAGTCCATTTTCTGCCAGCAAACTTGTCAATATTTTATCCATGTTGGTTATTTTTACACCACAGCATGAGCTCCTACATTGCATGATAACTTTTTATGGAGAATCTAGCCAAGGGTCTGTTAGAAATCCAAGTAAATTACATTAACAGGTTCCCCTTTATCCACAGCTTGTGTTACTCCTTCAAAACAAATCTAATGCATCGATTAAACATGGCTTCCATTACAAATCAAAGATAGGAGCAGAATTAGGCCATTCAACCCCTCAACCCTGCTCCGTCATTTATTATGATCATGGCTGATCAAGCTCAATACCCTAATACCACCCTCCCCCATACTCCGATCTCTTTAGCCACACAAGTCATATCTACCTGTTGAAAACACAATGTTTTGGCCTCAATCACTTTCTGTGGTTGTGAATTCCACAAGCTCACCTGTCTCTGAGTAAAGAAATTTATCCTCATCTCAGTCCTAAAAGGTTTATCCCTTACCCTTAAACTATGACGCCTAGTTCTGGACTTCACAACCATAGGGAACATTCTTCCTGCATCTAACCTGTCTAGTTCTGTTAGAATTTTATAGGTTTCCATGAGATCCCTTCTCATTCTTCTAAGCTCCAGTGAATATGATCCCAAACAACTTAATCTCTCATCATACGTCAGGCCTGCTATCACAAAAACATGCTGTCTCTTCTCAATTACCTTTAATTTTACCAAGTGCCCATTTATTACCTCCATAATGAACAAGACTAACACCATTCCTACAAACATCAAGTTTATCATCCTATAGCTTCTGCCTCTCTCCATTCTTGCAGCTTTACAGTCTGATGGAACCTTTCCAGAATCTAAGGAATCTTGGAAATTTAACACTAACACATCTACTACCTCATTAGCCACCTTTTTCAAACTCAAGGATAAAAGCTATTAGGATCCAGAGACATCAACTCTCAGCTCCATCAAGTTACTCAGTACTACTTCCCCAGTGTTGATAATGTCGCCAAGTTTCTTTTTTTCAAACACCAGACTTACAGGTATTACTGAGATGATTTTGTATCCTCTATGGTGAAGACAGAGCAAAATATTTATTCATTACATCCACCACTTCTTTCTCATTTACTACTAACTTCCTATTCTCACACTCTAGAGCTTTAACACTCATTTTCCTTATATTTTTTCCCTGTTAATTACCAGTAGAAACTCTTATCTGTATTTTCATTTCTAGCCAGCTGTCTCTCACACTCTAATTTATTTCGCCTGATTAATCTTTTAATGGTTCTTTGCCATTCTTTGTATTCAAACCAGTCATCTGCCCTGCCAATAACCTCTGCACAGGTATATGCTTTTTCCTAAAGTTTGATGCTCTCTTTAATTTTTTTCTTTTGTAAATTACGTTAATCACAATAATGGGCCCTCGTCTTGAAATTTTTTTTATAATGAGAATGTACTTATTTTGGGTATAATGCTTCAATCATAGAGCATTAGTGAGACCAGAGTACTGTATACAGTATTGATCTAATTTCTGGAAGATTGAAAATGCAACTGGTAGCAGTTCAGAGAAAGTATACAGGCTAATACCTCAACTGTCTTAGAAGGAAAGGTTGGACAGTCTAGGCTTGCATTCACTGGTGCTTAGAAGACTAAGAGGCAACTTGATTGACACATTCAATATCCCAACAATTCTTGAAAGGGTTATGCGGAAAGGATGTGTTCTGCTGTGGAAGAATCCAGAATCAAAGTTCACATTTTCAAAATAAGCGGCCACCAATCTTAGAAATAGATAAGGAGGCATGTCTTGCTCAGGGAGTCGTTAATCTTCGGAATTCTTGTCCTCAAAAGGAAATGGATCAGATTCTTTGAAAATTATTAAGACAGAGGAGATCAATTCTTTAGATAGGTGAAAGATTATCCAATGTAGGCAGAAATGTGAAGTAATCATCTCAGTGATGTTCTGACTGAACGGTAGAGCAGTCTGAAAAGGACCAAGTGGCCCACTCTTGCCCATAATTCATACGTTTGCTCGTTCATGTTTCAACCAATAGGAGAATAAAACAGAGGGAGAAAAGTGAATTTCAGTAGTGAAATCCAGTAAATCGATGAGCAAAATATTCATGGAATCTCTAGCTCAGTTGTGAATCTCTTCTTTTTCTTCACATCTACTGCATCACTCCTCCCATACGCCTATACACAATCAACATCTAGTTTTTAGTGAAAGATAGGAGTTACAAAATGTATACGCACTTTTTATGAACAATTTTTATAAACCACCTAATCAAAATATGGAAAATGATGACAAGAAAGAATTTTACATCTTTACATATTTATTTCTGTCCTCACACTGGTACTGTCTCAGCAAAATCATAGCAAGACTCTACCTCTGCCATATAGCGTCTGTAATCTTGTCGAAGTTCCTCCTTCAATTTCTGTTTCTTCAAATCATATTCTAACCCAAGTGGCAGGCTTAACCCATAGTTTTCTTCTGAAAAGAGAGCATTTGTTTTTTAAAAAAATATGATTTGAGTAATCATACTGTTGCATATTCATGAATAATTCATACAATGTAGATAAACTGAAAAAGTCAGACTTTCCTTCTGGAGGGTTGGGATATAGGATGTGGGTTTTCAAATCATGCGCGGTCTGGACAGAGCAAAAATGTCAAATCAGATTTGCGATAGTTGGTGAGATAGAGACCAAGTCAGTTTTATATTGGATAGAGTTTATTAATTACTCAGTCTTACTATTCCATCCCCACAACAGTTCAACCTGCTCCCCCTTTATTATCTAACCAGTCAATTAATTAATAAATTAATCCCAATAATTTGCTATAACAACAAAAACTGTTCCCATTGTCACATGCATTGAGAGAACAAAAAGTGCTGGAAAAACTCAGCAGGTTTGGCAACATCTGTAGAGATAAAAACAGTTAAAATTGACCCTGTCATTAACTGTTTTCCTCTCCACAGACACTGCTGACCTGAGTTTCTCCAGCACTTCCTGTTTTGATTTCAGATTTCCAAAATAGCAGTTTTGTTTTCATTTACAGGTTGAAGGTAATTGGCAAAACAGTAAATTAACACTTAAGAAAAACATTTTTTCACACAGCAAGTGACCAGAATCTGAAATGCACAGCTTCAGTGTGTGCTGAGAGCAGGTTCAATCAAGGCATTCAAAAGGAAATTTGATTAATATCTGAAAAAGAAGAATGTGTAGAGCTATGCCAAGAAGGCTGCTGGATAGATAAAGTTAACTGTATTAATTCCACTTTTTGTGCTGTAACAATTATATGATTAATGCTTTTGTGCAAAATAACATGCACAAGGATTTCAGGATACCTTCATAAGTTTTGCACTTCAGGATTGAAACTGTATTAAATTAACACTAAGTAAACAGTTATTACTTCAATGAAAAGAACACAAAATGTTAAGGTATTAATTCCATCTACAATAGGATATTAAATCTGTAAGAATTAATTACGTAAAACCAGTGGAATTTTAGTACAACAATCAACAGCAGCATAGACTAATTCAAACATATATTTAGTTTCAGTGCTGTAATTTCAGTGAAATGCTACTTAAACATTTAACTGTGTTGAACCAGTTTACATTGAAGTAGCTTACACACACACAGCTAAAAGAGGTATCTCACAAAGGCTGGAAATTCTGTCTGAAATTCTTATCCAGAACAACTCAGTCAAACACCAGAGCAACATTTACCCAGTAGGCCACAAAGCAGAGAGAAGCATTATTTTGATACCAACAAGTTGCATGCTGTCACCCATATTGTACCTTCAGATCTGCCATTTTGTTGATTTTCTTTCACAGAATGAATACCTGCAAGGACATTTCCTTTAGCTATGGAGTCTACAGTTTGATCGGTCTTGCTGGATGGCTCTGAAGAATTTGTCTGAGGGCGGAGAAAAGGACAAGTTATAAAAAAATATTTTGAGACTGTTCCAGTTGATGTATCAGGAAGACAATGTAAACTGCATATTAATTGTGTTTGATTGTATGCAGATGCTGGACATTAACTGGGGAGTCATATGTGCTCCCACATATAGGACTCAAACTACTGCTGTTGGGCTAGGAGGTCCATGTTTGTAATGCAAATAAAGACCAGTAATAAGTGAATAAAAATTGGTTGTTCTATTCTCCACCACCAGGCTTTTTGAAACATGCTAGCAGAGAACAGCTGCCCAGATATGAAGTTTGAAACAAAAAACAAAATTTAGAAATGTAACTGAAATCCTAGCAGCCATTGTAGTAGATAGCAGAAAGCAAGCATAAATGTTCAAAGTATGATTACACTTATAGGTTTTTACAGACAGAACGATATGAGCAGTGGAAGAAGATAAATATGCAGATAGGGTTACGAATCTACCAGCAGGAAAAAAGAGAATGGCCTTAGTGTTTCTGCCTCCCAAAAAGAAATAACATCAGACAATAAGTATTTTCAGAGATGGATGACTGTCAATTAGACAGTAAAGGTTTAGATCATTTATTAGAGCTCCTAGATTAAATGTACAAAAAAGAACCTGCTAAATATCTATGTAGCATAGTCAAAATTTGATAATTTCTGAAAACAACCAGTTGTTCATTAGAAGAATATGTTTAATAGATTGATTAAAAGACTGATAACTCAATTTGGGGATTGCTAAATCAGCATTATTATTTAAATTACTGGATCACATTAAGGTGCCTCACGCGAACAGGTGACTGCTACAAACAGGGAAGATGGTGGCCTAATGATAATACAGTCATACAGCATGGAATCAGACCCTTTGGTCTATCTCGTCCATGCTGAACATGTTTCCAAACCAAACTAGTCCCACTTGCCTGCGTTTGGGCCATATCCCTCAAACCTTTCCTATTCTTGTATTTATCCAAATGTCTTTTAAATGTTGTAACTGTACCTGCATCCAACACTTTCTCTGGCAGTTCGTTCCACATATGAACCGCTATCTGTGTAAAAAACGTTGCCCCTCATATCCTTTTTAAATCTTTCTCCTCTCACCTTAAAAATACCTCAACCATAGGGAAAAAACCTTGCTATTCATCATATCTACGCCCCTCATGATTTTATAAACCTCTATAAGTTCACCCCTCAATCGCCTACGCTCCAGTGAAAAAGACCTTATCCAGCCTATCTTTATAACTCAAACTTTCCATTCCCAGCAACATCCTGGTAAACTTTTCTGAACCCTCTCCAATTTAATAATATCTTTCCTATAGCAGTTGACCAGAACTGTGCACAGTACTCCAAAACTGGCCTCACCAATGTCCTTTGTAACCTCAACATGACATCCCAACTCCTATATTCAAAGGTATGACCAACGAATACCAGCATGCTGAATGCCTTAGCACTGTCCACACGTGACACAAATTTCATAGAATTATGTACCTGAACGCGTGGGTTTCTCAGTTCTATAACACTATGCTTGGATCTACCATTAATTGTTCAAGCCCTGCCTTTGTTTTACCAAAATACAATACCTCACAGCTATCCAAATTAAACTGCATCTGCCACTCCTCAGCCCATTGGCCTAACTGATCAAGATCTCTTCGTAATCTTAGGTAACCTTCTTCACTGTTGACTATATCACTAATTATGGATGACATCCATAACTTACTAACCATGTCTCCTAAATTCTCATCCAAATCGTCTATATAAGTGACAAACAAAAGTGTACACAGCTCTAATCCCTGTGGAACACCGCTAGTCAGGCCTCCAGTCCAAAAGACAACCCTCGACAACCACCCTCTGTCTCCTACCATCAAACCAATTTTTCGACCATGTGGAACCTTGTCAAAGGATTTACTGAATGCAAATGACGTCTATTGCTCTGCCCTCAATCTTTTCAGTTACCTCCTCCAAAAACTCAATCAAGTTTGTGAGACAATTTCCCTCACACAAAGCCATGCTGATTATCCTTAATCAGTCCTTGCTTCTCCAAACATATGTAAATCCTATCTTTCAGGATCACCTCCAACAATTTACCCACGACGAAGTCAGACTCAAAAGGTCTGAGTTCCCAGGCTTCTCCTTACAGCCTTTTTTTAAAATGAAGGCACAATATTAGCCCCACTCCAATCATCTGGAACCTCACACATGGCTATAGATATACATATATATCTCTGCTGGGGGCCCTGCAATTTCTGCTCTATCGTCTCACAATATCCTGTGCTACACTTGATTAGGTCCCAGAGATTTATCCACCGTTATGTTTTCTAAGACCTCCAGCACTTCCTTTTCTGTAATGTTTCTGGATAGTAATTCACAGCCCCAGGCTAATTCGCTGGTGGAATTTAAGACAGTTAACAAATCTGGAATATGAAGCTAATCTAAGTAATGGGGACCATAACAACTTTTAACAGAGTGATGTAACAACCCATGTAGCTCAGTAACATTCCTTAGAGGAAAAAAATCCCTACCCGGTCTAGTCTATATGTGACACCACACAAACAGCAATGTAATTTGACTCTCATCTGCCTCTGAAGTGGTTTAGAAAGCCATTCAAATTGAAGGGGGTTTGGAATTGGCAATACCGTCCTTCTCAGCAACATTCACATCTCTCAAAATAATTTGGAGAAAAAGATTTTGTTGGATCCGATCTTTATTGTGTTAAAAAACATCTTAGGTGAAACAGTTGTTTCCTTCAGCCTTCATGGAAGAAATGATTCCTTTTGCAATTTAAGAAGACAACTCAATGCTTGCTAGATTTTTGAATGGTTCAGATGCTAGACACATTCGTCAATAAAATGAAAGGATTAAAGACAGATAGAATGAAGATACAAGTACCTTTATAGATTTGTTTCTTAAAAACATATGAAAAAATTGGAAAAGCAGTGTTAGGTAACAGAATCCCAGGAGTGCACAAGAAACAGTAGACACTTCACGCATGACTGGAAGTATTATTGTGCAGTGAACTACACACGGGAAGAGGCAAGGTCCTTGAATTAACACCTGACACTTAACATCACTTAACTTTGTGGTCAGACAGGCAATGAAACCTGCAGGGAAGCAACTCACACTGAGCTTCAAACAATGAATAAAACTGTGACATCACTGTTAGTTCCAGTAGTTGCTAAGAACCTGTTGTTAGGGATTGTCTACAAATTACTGTATATGAGAAAAGCAAGTTGCTGTATTTGGATTTAACAGAGAGAGTCATAACTATTATAGCAAAGTGATAAAAGCAGTTTAAGGGATGTAAAGTGGAGATCTTACTTTAAGTCTTAAAAGACATAAAGCAAGGACTCTGCATTGCAGCAGGATTGTTTGCAGTGAAACAAGGTGCATAGCATAATTAATATTCTAACAATAACAATATTAATGTCAAGTCATGGCAGCAAAGCTCACACCTGTGATATGCTCCCTCCACACTAGATGTGAAATCATGAGTATCCCTGGTGACCAAATGTTCAGGAAGTGTGCCCAGCTGTAGCTACTGGTTAACTGTATTTCAGAGCATAAGCAGTGTGTGGAGACAGTGTGGACCATACACTTTGCAGAGATTTCCATGAAAAGCACGTTCAGTGAGGTGGTCACACCACAGGAAACAACCAAAGGGGCAAAAAGGGGACCATCAAGCAGTGTAGGAAGATAAGTAGTGCAGGGATGCTCAGTGGCTGACCCCTCACTAACACATGTCATTTGGATCCTGTTTTTCAGTCAGGGGAAGAAAGGGGAAGATTTCTCAGGGGAAAGCAGTGGAAGCCAAGTCAATAGCACCTTGGGTGGTTCTGGTTCACGGTGGGGAGGTGAGGGAAGAGGGTGGGGTGGTGAAGAAGAATGACAGTGCTATAGTGAGGATTACTGGGCTGATTGATGGGTTAACGGGACTGTCCCGAGATTGATTCAACTAGATCTGTATTCACCAGAGTTTAGAAGGATGAGATGGGATCTGATTAAAAAGTATAAAATTTTAATGGGCTGGATAGACTATAGTCAGGGATGATGTTTTCCTTAATTAGGGAGTCTAGAACCAGAGCTCGCAATCTCAAGTATTATGGCTCACTGTGGTAGTGCACAGAAATTGAGCCCCACTACTCCTGTAATCGTCACAAAGGTTAAAGGGTATTATGAAGTGTGCAGAGTTCCCCAATTTACCTGACTTTGAGATCCAAATTGATAGAAAACACAGAGCATGTTTCTATACTGAATAAGAAACAGAAAACACAGAGCATGTTCCTATACTGAATAAGAAACAGTATTTATTACAACTGGTAAAGAGCTAAAAACTGTTGGCCTATAATACAAAATTAAAACTTAATCTCCTTATAAACTGCCCCTTACACACATAGATAAGTAGACATGGTAAAATAGGTTGTGAGCAGGGGGAAAAAAAATCTGGAAATACAGTTCAGTTGTCTTTGTTCCCAAGTTCTATTGTTGAGGTGATCCTTATGACTCTTCCGTCAGCCAACACACTGTTTCAATCATCTTTGTCCAGGTGCTTCCACTGGTTGGTAAGGGATCCAAGATGGCCAATTCATTTATAAGGTCTCTGATGTAACGATTGAAAGTCATAGCTTACAACAACTTTTGCAGGAAGGATAAACTGTTTTTCTTCAGGTTTACAATGAATTTTGACTACCAAGAACAGAAAAATTGCTCCTGAGCTAGGGAAGAACTGTGGACTTCTCTCTCTAACTTGCTTCCAGCTCTAAGCCATTCACTCACCCCTAAACACCAATCACATTGTTGTTGGCAGGTAAGAAGGTCTCTGCCATTAATAACTAGCCCATAGACCAAGCAACTTATTGTCGATTTGCAGACAGTTTGCTGGCGATCTTCAACTTTTTTTACTCAAACAGTTGTTTACACAATAAAAACGGAAAGAATTGCGGATGCTGTAAATCAGGAACAAATCAAGAACAAAGAGTTCTGAGGAAGAGTCACCGGAC